AGGAAGTGTAAAGTTAGACTAGCGTTAGTAGCCCTTTCGGCGCGGCCGCCGGGCGTAAATAAATTGTGTGTGTGTGTGTTGCGGGAATTGAGTGTTGCCTTGGTACATCAGCAAAAGCTTGGAGAAGCGGAATCTATCTTCCGAGAAGCACTGGATCTGCACGAAAAGCTTTCCGATTTTACCGAAGCAATGACGATAGATTTCATGGCAGATCTGGCAAATGTGGTGGAGATACAAGGAAAACTCGAAGAGGCAGAGACTATGAGATCACGGATGCGAGAGGCACTGGAGATTCGAGAGGCGCGAGAAGCTAGAGAGTTTATGGCGGAGGAAGAGACTAGAGAGGCTAGAGATATCATTGATGCGCAAGAGGCGCAAGTGGCTCAGGAAGCCACAGCGATGCCAAAAGGGCTGAGTACGAAAGTTCGGAACATGTCACACAGATTCGTTTCCGAGTCGGACCTTGAAGACGTTATTTTTGAGTCTCGACGCCGTACCGCAGGACTAGCAGAATAGAACCTGTTATCAAAAGTCACTTACTCTACTTGAACATTTCGCTACATTGCTCAGAACGGAATGCAGATACGCCGAACTCACTCGTTTGAATGACCTTGCAAGAAGACGACGCAATTTATAGGAGGACCAAATCTATTTGCAGTTGCCAGGTTCGTCGCTGATCGCTGGACGAAACCATTGGTCTCATTCTCAGGCCACTTTGCTAAGGAAGCCTTAGAAGGATCAAGAGCATGAATATCTTCCCTCTCTTGATGATAATACAAGCGAGAAGAGAAGACTCCTCTAACACTCTCGCTCAGAGAAAAGAACCCCATCCTGAGCATCTTCATTTTGTAGCTAGTAATTCTGAAAGTTCAGTACAAAGCAAACTTCCTCCAATTTTCTCTAAAAAAAAGCTACGTGAACTCCACAAAATCTGCTGTACTAATACACACACGAAAGAAATCCTACAAACCCATACAACCTCGAAAATTCCAACTTTTGAATACCAAAGAATCCAACCTCCTTCCTAACCTTCCCCTAAGTCAAAACCCCTTCATCCTATCAAATGCATCCGCAAACTCGGTATAATCCCACACCCCATCATCCTCCTCCTCCTCGGGCGCAAACTTCGACCCCACAAACTCGCCCCTCGCAATCCTCGCCGGCTGCCTCCCCATCTCCAAATGCAAACACGCCTTCAACCCCTGATCCGCATCGGCCCAACAGCAACCCAAACTCATCCACAACGCCACAATCCCCACCCGCTGCTCCCTCGTCTTATTGCCGCCCACAGCAAAAAACCCAGGTCGCCACAGCTCATCCCCCCTCGGCGGCTTCAGCGAAAAAGTCAAAGATTCAAGATTCGGAAAGCAATCCAAAAGCGCCTTCCCACTCTTCAGAATCTCGGGCCAAAACCGATTCTTCCAACAATACTTTACGTGTTCGAGACTCCTATCAAAGATGCCCCTCGGACTCGCCTCCATAACAATATGGCGGACCAGTAGATTCCGATGCGCAAGACTCAGCTCGAGCAGCCGGGCGTTCCACGAGGAAAAGACGTTGGCAGAGTACAAGATGGGACTGCTTTCGGCATTGAGCTGACGGCACGTGCGGAGTAGGGCGACGGGGAGTGCGCCGTTGACTAGGGGTTGCGGGGCGCTGGGGCCGCGGCCGGCGTGCTGGATGTTCATTGCCCGGGCGACGAGCCGCGCGGCTGTCGGGTCACGTGTGTAGATGAGGAGGGCGCCTTGGATGCGGAAGGCGAAGTCGTAGACGAGATCGCGGAGTTCGCGCGGGAGGTCCAGGAAGCCGATTGCGGTGTCGTCTTGATTACGTGATTGTGTCCATGGTGGTGTTGTGCCGGTTTGGGGATACTTTTGGTGCGGTTAGCTGGCCGAAGTTACGTACTTTAACAAGGTCCAGAGTAGGATGTAGTAGGGCGTGCCGAATCGTTCCGGTTGGAATACTTAGTTGGGGATATACTCACTTGTAGCGCCATATTGACGCAATGTTTCCTTCTGATACAATGGCAATCTCAAGGCAGGTTTTTGATAGAAATTATTTACGGATTGAGGTTGCGTGCAGAGCTGAAAAGGGCCACACGGAGGATTTCTTGATTACATGCAGCATTATTGAGCTAACCTCGTTAGGAAGGACTGGAGCTGAGACGCCCTACACTCCCTAATTGGTACGGAATAATTGTATGCCTTGCATATTTGTACACGACCACGTTTGGCTACACCCGTGGGCCGATATTTTTAGAAAAGAAATCCATTCAACGTGTCCAGGAAGTTTCGTCTCACGCCACTTTCTACGTGTACCACAACGTCACACAAACTTAATATTCGTCCACGCCCCTTCTTTGTCCAAAGTTTCCCTCCAGAAATTCTTCCACCAGCGCCACAGCCTGGATCTTCACCTGCTTCTGCGTTTCCTTCTTGCCGAGAGACTCCTTTTCCCTTTCTAAACTTTTCACATTTCCCCTTGCTTTATCCAATTCAATCTCGACATCTCTCAGACGTTCTTCACGGTCCTTCATGCTATATTTCACTTTCTTATAGGTGCGATTCGGTCCGATGTAGTCGCCATCCCGCACCTTACCCTGCTCTATTCCGGGAGCGCGGTTCACACTCAGAGATGATAGCTGACTGGTGAGGTCTCGGACCTTGTACCATGAGCCAGACGATGATGATGAAGGTGAAGACGAGTAAGGAGAAAAGTGCGGGCGAGCACGAAGATGATTATTCGAATTGTGCGCTGGTTGATCGGCTGGATGCCTGAAGTACGTATACCAACCTGCAGTTTTGAGCTCGGCACGGGCTTTATTAATATCGTCCTCTAGTGCTCCACTAACTCCAATGGCAGTGAAAAAGCGTGACCGATAAGGACCTTGCCGACTTTCAAGTTTCAGCAGGTTGGGTGGCTCTACGGTGCTGTGGTCTCGCAAATCGCCGTGGTAACGACCAGGACTCGATGTATCAGGGCAACGTGTGAGGAACATGCGTGCCCAGACTTTGAGATCAGGGTCTAGTTCGCTGCCTCGGTAAATCTCTTTGAGAACAGCCACAGGGTCTTCGTACATGACCCTGTATGTGTTCATGCGGTCCAAGGCGTAGGTCTTGCAATCTTCGAAGCCCATATATAAGCCAAGCTTGGCAAATCGTATGTCGGCTAAGACCACAACTGCCCCAACGGATGTGTTCTGGGACTTGATGATAGGAGGGGCTTTTCGTCGGACATCTCGACTAACTGCAGCGCCAGCAAAGACGTGCGGATCAGGAGGATAAGAGCCAGTATGGAGGAATTCAAGGAGGCGCATAAACGTGTCTTCTGAGACTTCCTTGGGTACTATGAGAAAGCGACTGCCACCCTTATCAGACGCTTTCATGACACTCGGAAACTGGTCAATCTTATCCCTGCCAACAAGGACCGGTCGATCTTTGAAAATAAACTCTACAGACTTTGAAGAAGGACCGAGGTGCGTCCGACGTCTCTTCACCAACTCGTGTCGTTGGACATTGTATACCTCTACCTCGAGACCGCGAATACTTGGTGGTAGGTCAAGCATTGGCTGGCAAACTTTCTTATACCATTTGTCCACCTCGCAATCAGACGGTCCGCGCATGCCACCGTGACAGTGGCTACAATACCACTCGTTCCCATATTCGTGCTCGATCTCATCTCGTCTCCACCGGCGGTAGTAGTCGTCGGCATGAAAACGTCTGCTGGGCAAGCGATGCCCATAGTCCAAGGTTGCAAGCTCTCTGCTGTGAGCAGCCGAAAGCCTCCGGATGGCGAGCATGATCTTGCCGAAATGTAAACCGTGGTTCAAACGCCCATAGTCCATCTCATGCTCCTTTTGCTCGCCGCAGGCCACAAGAAAGTATGCGTGGATCATATGGTGGATCAGCGTAGCAACAATGTCCCATGCCTGGCCATGTCGGATTACATCTTGATTGAGGATAATGGAGATGCGCTTGACTTCCGCATTGGGTCCCCATCCGTGAGTGTAGGTAATACCAGAAAAATCAGAATCTAACCTGCTGGTATCGAGAAAGACGGCATTATTCAAGTATCCAGCAAACAGAGCTTGGTCGAGTTTGTTGAATATCCGAAAAGGAATTTCTTCGTTCAAGCTGTTTTCGTATAGTGCTGCGGCCCGTCTGCGAATGTTCATGAGTGATGCAGCTGCATCTACCCAGCGTTGTTCCAACTGGTCGACGAGGAAAGCCACGGCCCAGTCAATGTTCCACTTCAAGTCTCTGTCGCACCGCAAATAGGGGTCTTGCAGTTGCAATGCGGTATTCAGTAATGGATGGCCAAAATCGTAGGAATCGAAAGGTAGATACACATCCGATTGTAAATCAGACAAGGGGGACTGGGAGCGTGAGAATGGTTCTTCGTCTACGAAGTCACCGCCGAACGGAAATAGCGCCAGAAGGTCAGTAGAGCTCAACGACATGAAGTCGAGTGGAAAGAGTGAGATAAGTCGGTGCATCCAAAAAGTGACCACAAAGTTTGTGCGCCTAGGTGAGAAACCCCATCTATGACTATATAGTCAAATGAAATTGGCGACGATGGTGTTTGACTGTTGCATATGCACTGCTTGACCTTGCTTTTCCATGATAAGTCTCCTTATGCTGGGCTCCTTTAGTATCCATTGGTTACCGGCTTTCAGGACGAAGTGATACAAGTGCTGTGGCAAGCCGTTTGACGTGGACGTTATGAAAGATGCGACCTTTGGACTGCCGTAAGGAAATCATTATCCATCTCGTTGGGGCCTTTACCAAGCAATCGAGCTGATTCCATGTCAGTGTGACCTTTGTGTCTGTTATCATCGAATTCCAGAACGCTCAAGCATGCCACGAGAGCAGAGCGACAGGGCCAGCATTGTCGCACCGAGCTAGCCAACACATCCCAAGTGGCACAAGACCAATTGCTGGATCTATAGAGACATTGGCGAAAGGGCGTTTTTTTCACCCAATGTGAGACTGACCTGGCAACTGTTCACATTAGTAGAATGATGAAATCTGCAAGACACGGAAGCGGGCGGATAAGAGGTAAGGATGGTATAGTGTGTAGCTAACGAAGCCTGCAGCAACACCAGGTGCGGCTCCAATCATAGAATAAAAAAAACAACAGATGGGATATACAAAGCACGTAAGAGGAGCGAGAATGGATGCGCACGAAATGCTGAAGCGCCTGACTATTAGCCGAATCTCCTTCCCCCCGAGGATGTCGTAACACATAAACAGATACGGGTAATGGGCTTGTCCCGATACGTGGGCGCTTGCCACTATCGATGCGGGTAGAACAGCGAACAGGACTCCGGACATGTTTGCGCCGCCACCACTAGCCCTGATTATTAATAACGTGGGCGGTCATCGGGACGACCGTATTCGTCAACAGCCCTTCCACTGACTGAGCCGGGACGCGAGCCGGGACGAGAGGTCCTTCCGCCGCCCTCGCCGTAGTGCTTTCGCCTGAGAGCAGCTAATCGCTTCTTCTTGGTGTGGGCGTTGATGTATGTACCGATGATGAAACCGATAATGTTGAAGAAGGGTACCCAGGTAGTCTCCGGGAGGAACTGCTGGGCAAAGGCCAGAGAGACGGGGGAGACGACCCAGCTGACCTTCATGACGGGCCAGAAACCGGCCTTGACAGTAGCCTTGACTTGATGGAAAGTGCGCGCACCAGCGATGAGGGCCATGCAGATCAGGTAGACGCTGTTTTGAATGGGCGCGACCTGGACGGGCACGGGTCAGCATGCCATGTGATGTGATGTGAGAGCGGACTTGTACTCACAATCAAGTTGCTAGCAAGAATCTGCAGGACCTTTGCCTTCAGACTCTTGCGGCCCTGGAAAAGTTTCTGGAGCGCGGTGATCAGGACGTGGCCCAAGGGCGCACTAATCAGAGCACCGTAGATGGCCATCTTGGGGACGCGCGAGGTGAAGTAGTGGCCGGACTTGCTGCGGTCATGGGCAATCCACGAGGCGAGGAACTCCTGCAGGCCGGAAAGGGTACCCGAGGTGAGCATCTTGGTGCGCAATGGGTTGCTCTGTAGCTGCTTGAGGTAGGCCTAGGACGCGGACAGTCAGTTGGAGAAGTCGACGCAGCGTGTCCGGACGGGCCAAACTCACAGCAAGGTAGCCATTGGGGCCGCCGCCTTTGGTGATGGCCTGGCCGATTTCGTGCATCAGGTCGTCGTTGCCCTTGGAGGCCGCGTCGACGGCGGCGGCCGTCGAGTGGAAGGTTTCCTTGTCGAACTTGACCGACATGGCGGCTCAATGGGATGCGGCGGCAGCGGAATGCAGATGGGCGCGTAGAGAAGGTGAATGCGGCGGCCGGGGAATGTTGTTGTGGGGGAGGGCTGGAGCTGTTGAGCTGACGTGCGGATGGCTGGGGGATGAATGTAAACAGCCTCGGATCCCAGTCCGTGCTAGCGCCGTCGCCCGACGAGGATGCAGAGGCCGTCGAGGCGGAGGTGTCGTGATCTGACGCTGCACTACGACCTCGGCTCTCGCCTATCAGCCCTGCTGTACGTACATGGGATGGGAGGGAATACGTCTAGCAACACGCCGTGTGTGCTGCCCGGATAGATAGTCATAGCAGCCTCGCCTCCAACGCCGTGGCAAATGGCCTAGCTCCTTTTGCAGCGAAGCGACCCAAGAAGCTTTGGCACAGCCGCCATCTGTTCACCCTTGCTTTTCCATTGTGTGCCGGTGGAATGGAAGCCCCGTAGATTCAGCTGCCGATGCAATGGGTCCATCTCGCATTAAAAACATGTGCCACCCACTTGCACTCCATGGCATTCTTACATCGCCATACTCGACGTCAGCTGCATGCTTGGAGACTCGGACACCCCCCACTGCCACCTCACCATGCTGGACGAGACTCCAACGCCTCTCCAACCACGTGTTGCATACACACCGTCATGTCCATCTCTTCCTCGTCCGCGGCTGCAACCCTCATCTTCCCCCCTTCCCTTTCTCATCTGCTCCTGTTGATCGTCTTTTCGTTGGATTAAAGCAGACGCTGGGTGCACCGCCACAGATTGCGTGGTTTGTACTATGTCGCTACCACGGCAAACAGTTGAGATAAACGCAGGGACCGTCAACCGTCTGTTGCACGGTAAGCAGCATTAAACACAATGTCAAAACATAAAAGTCCCCTGGGTAGCGCCCTGCGAAGACACTGTCCGGGCGCGTCATGATTCCCTTTTCCGGTCTTTTCTTTGGCGTTTGACATGACTCTGGAACAATCCAGGCCTCGAGACCCGAATGTTCCTTCTTTCCCCTTGCTCCCTCTTTCACGTTTACAACTACCCTCGTGACCACTCTACCTTCCTCAAAGACTCCTCTTATCACTTCCAACTTGCTGCATCCTCACCGTCTTTCCACCCGACACCTCCACCTGGGACCGACACCTCATCTCCTCACCCGACCGCCCGCCTACCCCACCATCCTTGGCCATGGGGAAACGCACACAAACAACAAACTGCACTCATGTAGACATGGACCGTGTCTACGGGCACGACCAGCAGTGTTCTGTTTGTGGCTGCTCATCCTCCATCGGCTTCCTCTATCAATGCAAACAGGACAATGAAACAGAACACCTCAGCGATCTGATATCGCGAAACACATCAAACATCATGCCAGTCAAATCGAGGTTACGGAAAGAGCTGGAGAGAGCGGGGCTGAGCGAAAGTATTATTACTGCCGCGGAGAGCGGACACTACACCAATCACCAACTCCAGAAACTGAAGCAACTGAAGCGCGATCTGCAACATACCATCATCGATGTGCAGCAGGCTGATCAGGCCAATGATGCCATATCCAGGCTTATGGACATGGCAATGGCGCCTTGTGGCACTGATGGTGCCATGAGTAGTCTACTCCCTGCAGATACGGTAAGTGGACATGTGCCAGATTATCACATGCAAGATCATTGCAATGGTAAAGTCAGGTGTTTCTAACAGACACTTAGGAACCTTCAGGGTGTAACTTCAAAGCATGCCATGGATGTCGCCCCTATTACCTAGACCGCGTCTACATTTCTTTTGAAGCCGTTATGGCGGGCGAGTTCCCACCCTTGACACGAGCAGATATTGAAAAGCTACCCATCAGGCCCGCTGCAACCATGCGCAACATTGGTCTGAGAAGTCCACCACTACCATCGTCCAGGACATCCAATGCCACACCATCCACAAGGGCGACCTTCAATTCCCCCACCACGTCAACTAGCCTCCGCCACTCACCATCCTCAAACACAACCGACTCCAGTGCCGCCACATTCCAGACCACGCAAACCGACCTGGATGAAATAGCAACCCAACGCCGTCCCCGCCTCAACTTTTACAAAATCGGCCGTCTACCCTCCGCCACCACCACCCCGCCATCTACCCGCTCCTCCCCCCTCCTCCCCCAAGGCTTCAAGACCACAATCCAAGGTATATTCCGTTACACACGCGACCCCAGTTCCACCAGTACATCCACCTCCACCTGGGACACAGCAAACTCCACCTCTACTTCAACTAGCTCCTGCAACACAACCCGCGTGCGCCGCCGCCCCCACCGAGAAAACCAGCATAACCACCACCCTCAAATCCCGCCCACATCCTCCTCATCCGCAGACAGCGCCATAAGTACAAACTCGGCCTTCAAACTCTACCCGTCCGAGAAGGAAAGTCACGCTCACGTCGCGACGACGACGACGGGGAGGACCCTCACAGCCCGAATGCACATACCAGATGTCGCTACCATTACGCTACCAGACCCAGCTTCGCGACCGCACAAGTCTGGGCCGCTGGTCCGAACGACGGAAGTTGCGGGTGAGGTACAGGCACCACGGGAGAGGAGCGCGTTGCAGAGCGTTATGACGCAAGTTTGACAAGGTTAGACGTTTGGCTTTTGGGACTTTTCTTTTTGAGAGGGAAGGGGAAGGGGGCAAAGGAGGAGGAGAAGGGGAGGAGGGGTGGGGTTGGGATTGGAAGAGTTGGTTTTTTTTTGGCGGAGTCTGGGGGTTAGCCATTTGGGCATACTTGTGATTACTGGGGCATTAGAGGGACTTGAGGGACTTTTGGGTCATTCGGGGGGGTGGGGGTTTGGGATGGTAGTAAACGAGATTCATGCGACTCTTTTTTATTCTTTTTTTTTCATTTCTGGGTTTTTTTCTCGATTCACTGCGGTTTAGAGGGTGCGTGTGGTGAAGTGAGAACCCGGGTGCTCATGGTTTAAAAGTTTTTTTTTTGGGGGGGGGGGTTCTCTTTGAGTAAGGATGCTGTGCCAAAGTGACCAAGCCATAAGCATGTCACCAAGACACGGGATTTGATAAGTGGGATCTAGAGTCTCTTTCACAGCGTAGAAAGAATGGTAAAAGCTTGCTATTTATACAGGGTATCTGATGAGTTGATGCTTCTTTTCAACACTAGTCACGGAGTCCGACTGAGCTGTCTACCGTATCCACAGTGCTGTCTGCCGGAGCAACGCTACGAGCGCGGCGATAGTCAATAGCACCTGCATCAACTAAGAGCTGGACTATGGACTCATGGCCTTTGAATGAAGCTGCCTCTAGCGCGTTTCCGTAGAGTTCACTTTGTGCGTTGACGTTGGCACCCGCGTCTAGTAATATCTTCACTATCTGCTCGTGGCCACCTTCTGAAGCCGCCTCTAGCGCGGTGCCATTTAGACTCTGGGCGTTGACGTTGGCACCCGCATCTAGTAATATCTTGACTACCTGTTCGTGACCTCTTGATGAAGCTGCATATAATGCGCTGCTATCGGAGTTTCTATCCAGGGTATTGACTTCGGCACCTTGATCTAGGAGTTTTCTCGCAATCGTGCACAAGCCCAACAATGCGGCATAGTAAAGTGGCCCGGCTGTGCTTTCTAGATGTCTTGTAAAGTCTGGTCTTCTCCATGATTCATTTGGGTCACACAACTGGATCCATGCCAGATATGCAGGTTGCTTTCTTGACATTAATCTCATCGCTACTTGGCTCACTTTGTCTGTATCATCCCCTATTTTCCGAAAATGGCTGCTCCAAAACTCTGCTGTATACCTTGCGAGCGCAAACTCCTCAAGAGTGTGCGTTGAGATTGGTTGCTGAAACTGCAGTAGATATTTTAAACAATCCTCTGCTATTACACTGTGGCATTTAGCCGCTTGCATGCTATACGGCTTTGATTGTCCTTGCTTAATTCTCTCTGACACAAGATACTCCTGGACGGAATAATGCGCTAGAGTAATGATAGGAGACTCAATCAGTCCGTCTTCGTTCGGCTCATTCGTCGTGATAGTGACAAGACTAGAGCAAATGTTCAGCGCCTCCAACGGGTCCTGCAGCACTTCATCGCGATCGAACGCTGGCTCGCGCTCTATGTCGATAGCAATGACCTCAGCAATCTCTTCGATCGACATTGGCCGCTCAGAGAATGTCAGCCACCGCAGGATACGCATTGCGAAGTCGCGATCTTGTTCACTTATAGTAGCGAGAATGCGGTCATATGTCTGGTCTAACGTTTTCGGCAAGGTGGTTAGTGACTTGCGCAGCATCGCCCGATTGCGACACTGTGCTAGAGTGTCAAGCTGACATACAGCCCATCGGAACCTACACTCTTGTCAGATTTAGCTATGTAGGTCACTATGTGTCTACACGTACATTCCACGAGCTCCATTCATTATAGCGGCCTCAATCTCTTGCCTGGTAGCATCATTGTTCCATTTCGCTAGACTGGTATCGTCAGACAACCTTTGTCGAACGTATCGCTGTATGTCGCTATCTACAACATGTTCTTGAAGCCAGATTGTGTCTTCTTCTTTGATGTAACTCCTTAAAGAGCTCTTAATATCCCGCTCTTTACGGCTAGTCATAAGCAGATGTAAATTGTTGAGCTGCCTTCCAGCCACCTCCTGAAGCATGTCTATTAGTTCTTAGCGTTGTGTGTATTCGTCGAGCGCATTAAGAACAACATAGACATGCGTAAACTGTTTCATTACCTCTAGTATAAGTTCGAGAATCGCATGCGGTGATGGCTGTTGACGCCCATTTGCATATGCTGAGAACAATGCGTTGACGCCCTTAGGTATTGTAATTAGGCCCTGCAGGAGCTAGCAGAGTAATGAGCGGAATATTAGCTCTAGGTCTTGCTTCTGTGAATCGTTGAAGTCGAAGTAAAAATACGCTGTGGCCATACTAGTATCACCGTAGCAGTGCTGCAGCAGGTGCTCGATGACTGTAGAGCTTAGGATGGTCTTGCCACATCCTGGGATTCCATACAGCGACAGTCGCGACGCTGGACTTGTTTTCCATTTCTTGAAGCTTGCGCTGTCTAGTAGCCATTGTCCAGTTTCAACCTGCCGCTGCTTGTGCGCTTTATGGTAGTTTGTGGATGGGTCAGGAGCCGAAAGCCAGCTGCAGATTTTACCAAGTCTTTCTTCTTGGTCTCGGCTGCGAGTCTTAGAATTGTTTGCAAGTGCGCCTGGGGTGTCCTCGGAAGCTTTCTCTACTTTCTTCTGTAGCCGCTTCATAGCATGGTCTTTGCCTTCGCCATATATTGGTGACATGTAGATACCAAAGATGCCCAACAAGCAGTATGCACCATCTTCTTCACGTGTCGTCTGGCGATTCGCTGCCCAAGAAAACCGCTCAGCAACGTCGAATTCGGATAAGTTGCTTCTTGATAGAGCTTCAATAGGTATTCTGGTAATCTCGTGTATAGTTTGCTTGAGTGAATCTCTATCCCCTAGTCGAACTCCGTCTTTGGAGAAGAACTCGACGGAACGAGGTGCTAGTAGTTCCTGAAGCGTCCAGCCCCGGTTGAACCACCTGCTCTTCCTAAAAGCTGCCTTCCATCTTCGACATGACTCTCCATCCGCATCCAAAGACCTGTCTTCGACGTCGGAAAGGAAGACATAGCACTTGATTGCGTTCTGGTACCAACGGAACATAGAGTTGATCGCTTCCGAAAGTTCTGTGTTGTTTGCCTTATCAATGCAACAAGTGTCCACCCAAAAGTACTTCAGACCATCCTGCTTAGCCTGTTGCGCGCAGAAGAGAAGCTTCTGGTACCCCTCTTTGCTTTGTGTTTCAACACCCGCTGCATTGTTCAGATCGTTCAGGTCTGCAAATGTTACTTCCTGTCTATCTTTCCAGGTGTGCGAGAGGATCGCGTAGGAGGGGATATTGTCCTCAAGTAAGTCATCAGTCCATTGAAGTCTCCCACAGGTATCAGTATATAGCAGCCGCATCAGGCCGTAAGTGTCTGTGCGTGCGAGTTGTAGAGGCAAGTGTTGAGGCCTCGGACGAGGCTGAGGGAATCGAAGGTGGTCGAGGGCTCACTCGCGCAGCGCAGAAAAATCGTAGTTGTTGGATTTGTTGTGAGATTCAAGTGACAGTTTGCTGATTGAAAGGTCAGGAAGGTTGGTTTCAGAAGGCTGCAGTACTGCGAGCTGAATATTGGGCCAGGCTGCATCTCCAACGCCCAGAGCTGAAGGCGCAGCCCACCTGCACAGTAACACGAGGCTGGGCAGGCAAGACTAACAGCGCATAACTGCATGACAGCCACCGTACTACAAAGCGAGAAACAGTTCTTTTACGAAAATTGCAATCTAATCGTGCAGAAAACGGTACCGTAGGCCGTTGTTTACCGTAGGACATATCAGGATGTCTGTACAGTAGGACGTGTTACTACCTACTTAGTTCGTGCACAGACGAACAGACTTGCCTAGAGGACTAAGCATTGCGGACCGGAACGCAGGGCCGTGTGAAGAACTCTACCACGGTCTGCATGAGCAGGGTACGATTTAGATAGGCTAGAACACGGCTTGCCACATCTATGGTAGCGAAAGTCTTATTAGCGATAAAGAAACGAGGTGTGCCTGGGCAGACTCCAAGCATGAAACGCAGCCGATACACGCAACGGCTCTTGTTAGCATCCGCTACTTCTATATATAAAAGGTGAGCTGTTTCGCAGATATGCATAAAAAATATATGAATTCGAGTGACTTTAGACGAATCCTTGCGGGGCTACTCATGGGTTGGCTGAGACTATGGACGCTATGCACGTGACTGTAGTTCCGGTATCTGATTAGAGGGCTGGCCTGTCTAGGCTTCAGTTCAGAGCATCGAGATGTATAGGCATAGCAACCAATACAACCATGCTATCCCGCCACAACTCATTGGTTTCCAAAAGATTTCCTACTCCATACGACGAATCAATCAATAGCCAAAATCCAACACCATGGTAATCCTCATCAGAAATGTGACCGACTCAAGAAATAAGTAGTAACTGGAGAGAATCCTTCAGTTTTCATTTATCCCCTTGTCAAGTCTAATAAGAAAGCATGTCTAGACAGGCATCTAAAGTATGAGCACTGGCTCGCGACATAGTAGTGTCTCTCTCTCTCTCTCTCTCTCCAAATTAGGGACGCGCATCTTGTGAAGTTATATATTCATTACTGTTATCCCCCTCATACCCTATGGAATGGTCTATATCATACACACGACTCTTTTTCTACAATCATCATCTTACTTTGGGTTGGGGATTCATAATTTTTTTTCGTGATGGGGATAAGCCAGTGGATCAGGAAAAAACGCCTGACCCAACTGACGCATGCTGTGAGGAGAAGAGAGAGAAGGAGGAAGGAAAAAAAGGGGAGGGGGTGCGAAGAAACTGGTTTCACCGACGACCAAGTTTCCATCTCGCGATTCGCGATTGGATGTCGTCCCATGTCAAATCCTTGCGCTTGAGTCCCTCCATTTCCCCCTCTTGTAGTACCACGGTCGGAGCGCCAGAGCCCTTGCCCGCATTGTGCACGTCACCGCCAAACACCTGCTTAGCCACACGGCGGAGGTCCTTGACCGTGACTGCCTCGATCTTGCTGCACATTTCCTTGACGCCTACTTTGCGGCCGTGAACCTGAACCTGACGACCCAGATCCTCGAGCTCCACCATGCGCGATTCGAGGTTCATGAGGAGAGAAGAGCGGAGCTGGTTCTTTGCACGCTGCACCTCGCCGTCTTTGAGGGCTGCAAAGCCTGTTTCGTCGCTGAGGGACTTGAGCTCGCGGCACATGACTTCGAGCATATGGGCGGTATACGAGGGTGCGCATGAGGCGGCGATGCCGAACAAACCGCTGTCGGTGTAGCTGTGATTGAAGGCGACGCAGGATTCGACCCAGCCGTGTTGGTTGAGGACGTTTGTGTAGAGGCGCGAGTACATGCCCTTGCCGGGCCCACCGGCGCTGAAGGAGCCGCCACCACCAAGGAGTGTCTGGAGTGTTGCGAGAGCGTAAATGTCTGGCGAGGAAATGGGGAGGGCTTCGAAGGCGAGGTGGATGTGGGATAGGCGAGGGAGCATGGGGTTCGCTGGCGGAGGGATGGGAGGGAGCGTGAGGAAACCGCCGATGTACTGCGAAGGTATTGAGGTGTCTATTGGTGGGAAGTTGAGGTCGGGTGCTGTGGTGAGGTTGGCGGTGGATGAAGCCGATGTGGACAGATTCTTAAGGAAGGGAATCTTGGAGATGAGATTGGAGCTTCCTGGTAGTGCGCCTTTGGGCATGGGGTGGTCTGCCGTGAAGTTTGCCTGTGACGCTGCCGCGCTGTCTGAGCCCACACTTGGGAGTGCCGGACCTGTGCCTTTGTCCATATCGCCAAAGTATTCTTCCGTCAGCCGAACAGCTTCGTTGTGGTTGACACCAGCGAAAGCAACTACTATCCTCTCAGGCTTGAAGAACTCTTTCCG